CCAGGTCAGACTGCCATTCCTCCCTCTCAACTTTTGGGAGTATTTTTTAGGGCTGTCAAGCAATTTAAAAAATTAACCGCGATTAATCATGCTGTTAAACAATAACAGAATACCATTTATTTAAATATTTTGGATGTTTTCTACATTTACAAATATATTGATTTCAAATACAACACAGAATACAAAGTGTACAGTGCTCACTTTATATTAATTTTTGATTAAAAATATTTGCAATGTAAAAAAAAAGAAATAGTATTTTTCAATTCACCTAATAAAAGTACTGTAGTGCATTTTTTTTATCATGAAAGTTGAACTTACAAATGTAGAATTATATATAAAAAAATAACTGCATTCAAAAATAAAACAATGTAAAACTTTAGAGTCTACAAGTCCACTCAGTCCTACTTCATGCTCAGACAAACAAGTTTGGTTACAATTTGCAGGACATAATTTTGCCAGCTTCTTGTTTACAATGTCACCTGAAGGTGACAACAAGCATTTCCATGTTGTAGCAGGCATCGCAAGATATTTATGTGCCAGATGCGCTAAAGTTTCATATGTCCCTTCATGCTTCAACCACCATTCCAGAGGACATGCATCCATGCTGATGATGGGTTCTGCTCGATAACAATCCAAAGCAGAGCGGACCGATGCATGTTCATTTTCATCATCTGAGTCAGATAACACCAGCAAAAGGTTGATTTTCTTTTTTGGTGGTTCAGGTTCTGTAGTTTCCGCATCTGAGTGTTACTCTTTTAAGACTTCTACGAACATGCTCCACACCTCATCTCGCTCAGATTTTGGAAGGCACTTCAGATTCTTAAACTTTGGGTCGAGTGCTGTAGCTCTCTTTAGAAATCTCACATTGGTACCTTCTTTGCATTTTGTCAAATCTGCAGCAAAAGTGTTCTTAAAATGAGCATGTGTTGGGTCATCATCCGAGACCGCTATAACATGAAATATATGGCAGAATGCGGGTAAAACAGAACAGGAGACATACAATTCTCCTCCAAGGAGTTCAGTCATAAATTTAATTAATGCATTTTTTTTTAAATGAGCATCATCAGCATGGAAGCATGTCCTCTGGAATGGTGGCCAAAGCATGAAGGGGCATACAAATGTTTAGCATATCTGACACGTAAATACCTTGCAACGCCAGCTACAAAAATGCCATGCAAATGCCCATTCTCACTTTCAGGTGACTTTGTAAATAAGAAGCGGGCAGCACTATCTCCTGTAAATGTAAACAAACTTCTTTGTCTTAGCTGAACAAGAAGTAGGACTGAGTGGACTTGTAAGCTCTATAGTTTTACATTGTTTTGTTTTTGAGTGCAGTTATGTAACAAAAAAAATATCTACATTTGTAAGTTACACTTTCATGATAAAGAGATTGCACTACACTACTTGTATGAGGTGAATTGAAAAATACTATTTTATCATTTTTACAGTGCAAATATTTGTAATAAAAATAATTAAATAACATGAGAACTGTACACTTTGTATTCTGTGTTGTAATATAAATCAATATATTTGAAAATGTAAAAAAAATCCAAAAATATTTAATACAATTTAATTGGTATTCTATTGTTTAACAGTGCGATTAATCACAATTAATTTTTTTGAGTTAATCGTGGGAGTTAACTGTGATTAATTGGCAGCTCTAGTTTTTTCCCATTGGTTGTAACCAGCAAGAATCAACACACATGTGGGAACAGAAGGGAGCTCAGTCCACTCCCTGGGTGGACTAGCCTTCTCTGCTGGAACTATTATCTTGAGAACCCTTCCATGGGGTTGAAATGAGCATGACTTCACCTTCCAAACCCCAGAAAATGAAATTGGCCTTTGCCAAGTTTAGAATGCAGAAGACAGTCAGATATATAACTCTGGATCCAAACCTATCTATGAATTCCAGAGATATTTCGATCCACAGCTTGAGTTCAGGCCCATCTGTAGATTAATTGTGTGGAGGAAAAATTAGACTAGCCCTAATGGTCTAGGCCTTTGCTTGCTTGGTCTGGGCCTGCTTTACAGCTAACAGACCCGAAGCCTGAACCAAGCTAAGAGTTAAGTCCATAACCATTGTAATTGAGGAAGGAGTTGGGCCAAGGGGGGGGGGGGAGGCGGCAATGGAAAGCCCCAGAAGCGGGAACTATTTGCAATATGTGCCTAATGCTTTGAAATATTATAACCGCTTGTGTGGAACAATAATGTAACCTATAAGTGTGAAGCAATTATAAATGTAACTCATGTCCTCCCCTATATCAATTGTGTAACCACCGCATTGCGTTACTGTACCCGTGAACGGCAATGGTGTAATAGCACCCCATAAAAGGCAAGTTTGTAACTGCGTTGAAAAGTACCAGAAAGACCTTAACTCAAATTGCACCCATACCGAGGCAGGGTTGCAAAGAACACTGGAAAGTACCAAAAGACCCTAACTCTTTTATTCCTAATAAGGTCACTATTACCCAAGTATGTGTAATTTAATTCCTAATATGTAATTACCATTACTTAACTGTGTGTAATTTGTTTGCGGTTTTAAGCTTTAAAAGCTACTGTATGCTTTGCTTCGGGGGAGCAGTGCCTATAGCTACTAACACCAACGCATTGGTGTTTATTCAATAAACGGGCCTCAGGCTAAGTCTTTGAACCAAAAATGATGCGTGGGTGACTTTTTCCACAACAATTGTAACCGTACTGGCCTCCAGATCCTCTAGGGTAATGAATTTACAGCAAACCTGACCACAAAAAATGCAAAGCAGTTCTGTGGAGGACTGAAAGCTGGTCATTAGGAACTTTTAGCTAGGCTTAGATCTTGATAGTCCCAAAACTCTGTTGTGATTTGGAAACACTGTTTCTGCCAAGTTGCCTGGCAATCGCACAGTATTTCATATTTCAGAAAAGCTGCAATGGTAACACGATCTCAATCAATGCAAGTCACAGAAAGGATAATTTTAGGAGCCATCATCAAGTGATACAGTATCTGTTGAATGAAGGGATAGTAAGACAGCTGTTTGGCTATAGCACGAAGTAAGCAAGCATAAATGCAACACTATTCCAAATCAGTTCATTGGCCAAGGTAACCCACAGTGGGTGAGTTTCCATACTGATTGGAAGAAAAGTAACAAGTGCACACAAAAGAAGGAATGGGTGAGAAGAGGAATGAATATGGGGGGAGAGGAAGGTTTCCTTTTACTGTTTTACACTGCACAATAGTTATATATGGAGAGAACAATAATAAAGTTGACAGGCTTTACAGAACAACAGCTGTCCACTTAGTTTTCTGAGACAGAGGAAAGCAGTATTTGGTAGCAAGAGAACAATGGGAAATAGGGTGAACACAAAGTTTGTTATATGTGAGTTTAGCTCATTGCCTAAAACTTCTGGGGAAAGAAGTGAATGGTCCCATGGTCCAATTTCTACATTCTTAGCGCCAGATTCTGATCTCAATTGCACTGGTGTCAATCTGCAGTGACTGTACTGAAGTCAGTGGAGTTACTCCAGATTTACAGCCCTTTCACTGAGCTCAGAACCTGGCCTTGAGTATCAAACTTTTGTGTACTTATACTTGTGATCTGTAGGCAAATATGTATTGACAGAAGATGAAGCAGCATGCTACTTGGTGAGTCTGTATCCTCATTAGAGTTGTATATCTGGTTTCCTAGTTATATTAATCACACCTGGAAACATTTACTATTTCAACAAGCCAGGCACAAACCTCAGAATCAGAGAACCCTGATTGGCTCACTGAGGCCCATTCCCGCTATTCTTCCCCGAGCAGAGCTAAATCGCAGGAGAGAATCTGTCTGGTACTGTTTCTTTTTTGTATATTTGTTTGTTTTTCTCAGTTTCATTTTGTGAGAACCCATAGAAACCCAAGATGAGCACATGTGAACTCAGGAGACTCCTAACTCAAAGAGGACTTGCTCTGAGAGGCAGAATATGACAACTGAGGTGCAATACTATTCTTTGTCAACACAAGACTTGCTGTGTATTATGCTTTAAATATATATTTTAAGACATGTTCCTCAGAGTCCTAGTTATGGAACATACAAAACGTTCCACACATTTTGCTCTAGCTCAGAAAGGGACTGAATCAAGATTCCAGATCATTGAAAAACCCACTACATGGGACAGTGGAAGGAAAACTTTGCAAAGTTCCCCTTGCTGACTCTTCCCCAGATCACACCGTGTGGTCGTTAGGGTAGGGCATGCATACGTGGCATTTTTGCCGAGGTGAAGACGGTGGGCATCTCACAGAATCTGCTGGAGGCACAAGGTTTCATCAAAAACCTTGTACTTCTGAATTCTGCACTCTTCAAACCAGCGCTCTGGCAGTGCAGCTCAAACGAAGTCAAGCTGCCACGTCTTCCTCTCCTAGATGCTGCTGTAGGAACATCCCTCAATGCATATTCCCCATGGGGCTGGTGGGAGGACAATACACTGCATCACCCATACATAGATCGTAGGGTGAAATTCTGGCCCCATGGAAGTCAGAGGGAATTTTTCTATTGACTTCAATTGGGCCATAATTTCACACCTAGACTCAAAGAGGGTTTTTCATGGTTCCAAGCATGGGGAGGAAGAAGCTGCACTGTGAAGACAACTGATTCTCCCCCCTTCCCCACCTCTCACACACACACAGAAAGAGAAAAATTCACACACAGATCACAGTGGCACGATCTGGCCCAAAGTTTGGAAATATTCGGTTTGAAAATCATACTCATTCTGAAACCATCTGGGTCATGAGGGATGGGATAGCTCAGTGGTTTGAGCATTGGCTTGCTAAACCCAGGGTTGTGAGTTCAATCCTTGAGGGGGCCACTTAGGGATCTGGGGCAAAATTAGTACTTGGTCCTGCTAGTGAAGGCAGGGGGCTGGACTCAATGACCTTTCAAGGTCCCTTCCAGTTCTAGGAGATAGGATATCTCCATTAATTTATTTATTATGAGGGAAAGGAAAATAAGAGACAGTCTGTAGAAAAGAAGTATATGCTTTACCTCAGTAGCAGTGCTCTGGTTGGCTCCATTTTCCAGCAGATATTTTACCACATCAATGTGGTTCTCTTGAGCTGCCATGTATAAAGGAGTGAAACCATTCTAGGAAAAAGCACAACAGGAAACATTGTAGTGAGCTTTGTACATAAAACATGTTAAAGACCCCACACAGCAAAAATATCTTCTGAGAACAGCACTTTTCTCTACTGATAAAAAGAAACAAGGTTGCACTTTCTGCATTAATGGGATATAGTGAAGGCACGGAATGCATTGTCTATGTCACTTAAAAAGTTAAAAAGCTTCACTGTCAGCACTGCAAAAAACAAATATTAAGAAGGAATTTTAAAACATCAAAGCATCTGCTGCTTTGCAATGATTTGGAAACTCTATACATCCTTTCACAGCTGGCATACTTCGGAATATTTTCCCATACTCTTAGGACAACTCAGTATACATTGGGAATGTTCATTATTACAGTACCACAACTATTTCCCCCCTCTTATGAAACAGAAATGTAATATTAGCAATAAAGTTTTAAGAAAGCTGACAAGGAAGCAAGAATTTCCCTTTATTTACTACTATTTTTTTTTAACCAAAGGCATCTCACTGGAAACCATAAAACACCTGCCTCAAAAGAAACCAAGCAGAGATGGCAGAGTTTTAAAATAATACATATAATTTCACAATATATAAAATAATGCAAACCACCAAACATAAAAAACCGAATACTGCAGAGCCCCGATTGACTACACAGTACGACTAAGTATAAAGTCATCTAGAAATGCCCTAAGGTACTCAGAAGAAACCACGCTGGCTAATAGCATGTCTTTTTGATGGCTTTTTCCAGTTGGTAGCTAAGAAGGCCACATAATTATAGGCTGATATACCAGAAATATATGCCTTGTCTCCACTTTAAAATATCTCAGAGCTTGTCTACACTTAAAACGCTACAGCGTACACACTCCCGTTAGTATAGAACCACCCTGACTATAACTCTATATTGCCTATTGTTTTTAGGAGGGTTTCTTGGGGCTAAACATAGGTATACTTTGCTTAACTGTCTTGCACTTATGCTGCACCTTTCTCCATGGTTAGTAATTTAACAGAAACTCATTCAAGAAATAAAGGACACACATCTTGATATTGAACATCGTGCTCTTCTTTGAAGTCCCACCTTCTAGGTCAAATTCTCCACTCGCTTACATCCATGTATCATCACTCACTTAACTGATGTTTCCAGGGGGTAATGAAGGGCAGAATTCAGCCCAGTAACAAGAAACAAGTCTACATCTCTCTATTTGCTGAACAAAGGCAAAGGACTAAAGATAAATAATTTTGAATGGACAGTTTACAAGATACTTGAAGAGACCCTACGGTATTTCCTGGCTGACCTTTTCATCTGCTATTTTGCAAATGTCCATCCTGGCCTGTGCATGGCATGTGCGCCATAACAAACATATATACTTCTTGTCCACCAACTAGTGAAGTTGGGGATATGGTCATTCTTCATTAGGTCAAGCCAAACTATGAAGATATGCAATCCCTTGTGCTTATGACAATATATAAATCACTGCTGGATTTCAAACAATAATCTATAGAAGATGCCTTATAACTCAGCAACCTCTTCTACTCCTGGCTTCTATTGTTTGACAATCCTGTTCCACCATACCGAGCCTGCTCTGAGCCTCCCAGAGTAAAATGAAGTCATGCCTATTGGTGCATTCATTTAGTATGGCACAATGGCCCCTGATTAGAGTTGGAGCGAGCAGGCAACAGGGACTAAAACAGTATTTAAAAACTTATATTTGGTAGAACAGCAAAAGAAAGCAGCAGGGGAATATACTGCATAAGCATTTTGGTTGTCCCCCCAGACCTGGATACATGCACAGCATCAACTTATTAGGTGTAGATAATGGAAATTTACCACACCCTAGGATCAATGTCTAATATTTATTAAAGGCTCACACTGTACAATTATACTCTTTCCTCTTTATTTTCATGGATTTTATGCCATTTGTAAAATCCTGATGTTACTGAATACTAAGAAATACGTACACCAGCATCATGCACATTCCTAGAAATGTGTGGAGCTAGAGGATTTTCAAGTGAGGGTGAAACGATTTGCCCAAAGGCTCAGCAGAAGGGTTTTTGCCAACTAAGTTTCCTAGTTCTGGAGTAGGACCAGGATAATAAAATTCTCGATTAGAGGAGGCTATAATCATCCCATACACGACCCGGTCATTTAGCACCAGGAGGTGAATAATGCATCTCCACATAGTGCTGATGATGACCTACAGAGTTTCTATCACACTGAGGAAACCCATCATTCATAGCAGTAAGTTTGCTATAATCATGGCGAAAGCCACAGGGGTTATGGGGAAGGAAATACTTACACATTAAATTATGTTTATTAGTTAATATTTTTTCCTTAAGCTTCCACTGAATTAAGATGAATCGACATTCTTAGTGTCATTCATCCTCAATACCATAAATATGATTAAAGTTCAGAACCCCTTAGAGAAACATTTAGCGCTAACTCCTGTGGTCATTATTTCTAGCCACTTCTCTACGCATATAGACATGGCAGTGGAATACAACGGTGCCTTTATATGATATAAAGTATTTCATCTTACAGTTTTATAAATTCCCTTGGGAAAAACACTGGCTAGTAAAGAGTTTATGAAAAATGCTCCACTGCTCCAATATGTAAAAAGGCGTACTTGCTTTGAAAGCTGATATTATCTGAGCTTGCATAGATAATATGCAGTAAGTAAAATACAAGACAGAGTTATATATATTTATATATGGGTATCCCCCTGTGCAAATTTTTCCTTACTCTGGTTCTGCTGGTAGGGGGCCCTTAGCTCACTTAAGATCAGGATTTGCACTTCAGGGCTTGATCATCAAAGGTGCTGAGTACCTACAACTCCCATTGAATTTTGAAAACTGGTTTGCCACATTTAAACATTCAAAACTTTAAAACTACTGCACTGATTTTCTTCGAAATCTAGCTTCTTTTGTGATCACACAGAGGCTAGGTGTGATTTGCTCTCTCATAGACATACAGGATCTTGGTGTTCCACTGGGTGGCTATGTTCCTCTATATTGTCTGAGTCTCTTGTAGCTCTGCCCTAAATCCCTAGCAGCACAGTTCTGTTGTATCCCTGCAAGGGGTTCCCCTGTAAGGAAGTTGCCCAGCAAGAATGGACCTTCTATAGGAAAGTTGGTATAGTCCCTTGATGGATTCATTTTCCTATACTGACAGGTTTCAGAGTAGCAGCCGTGTTAGTCTGTATCCGCAAAAAGAACAGGAGTACTTGTGGCACCTTAGAGACTAACAAATTTATAGTCTGCGGATACAGACTAACACGGCTGCTACTCTGAAACCTGTCATTATGCAAGGCACTGCATTTAGCCGTATGGAGTGGAAATCCATCAACTTCAATAAATTTGTTAGTCTCTAAGGTGCCACAAGTACTCCTGTTCTTTTTCCTATACTGTTTCAGATAGGTGCAAGGGTAATGAAATATGTCTGCCCCAACCCCAATCCACAGAGAGTTATGCCTGGAGGTTGAGGGGGAGGAGGAGGAAGAGGATGGTGTTGTGGACCTCATTTTTTGTATGGGGCATGGGAGATCTGTGTGTGGATTGTAAAAGAACAATGTCTTATTAAGCCTTAGAAATAAAGCCATATTTTAAGAAACTCATCTCTGGTTTATGAGGCCCTTAATCTGGCACAATCTATATCAAGATTTGGCCCCCAAATTGGATAACTGTATTTAAAAATGACCTGGAAAGGGGAAAAATGCACTTCATTTTGTTTCTTTGTGAAGGCCTGAAATATGGTTTTGTGTTTTGTAAATTTAGTTTTGGTATTTGAAAAAAACAGCCTGTGACCTTGAAATCAAATACTGAATCATGCCTATGCATAAGGCGACAGAGCTACGGTTTCACTTTAATTCTGGTATATCTGGATGTTTTAGTATTTATCCATGAAGCTTTAAATCTTAATGTAGGGGTTTTCCAGTTAAAAGTCAGGAAATGCCACAGTAAAAGTAGCATGCACAAACTTAGCTGCTTCCCTTTGTCATATATCACAAGGTCACATACTAATTCTCAAACAGTACAATAAAATATCATACTAAATTGTCTACAACATTAATAGATGCATATGTAGCAAAACTACAACAGTCAACAGGGACAGATCCCTGGACCTCCTGCACCAAAAGCACAAGGCAGTACCACTGGAACAAAGGACTCCCTCACCTAGGTTTGAATTGCATTCTCTGAAGGCTGGATCCTGCACCAATGAAGTCAATGGGAGTTTTGCCCTTGATTTCAATGGGACCAGGATTCGGGTCACCTTCTCTATGTGGGCCAGTAATTTGACAATGTGTTACATGCAGTAGCAGGTAGGGATGTGGTGTCTAGACCCTATGGTAATGAGATAATTAGAAAGGTCTATGACAGAGACACACACAAACATAACAGAATCCTGCTGATCTGCAGCATACCCTATAATTCCAGTAAAAAAATTAATGGTATCCCTCCACTTCTCAGAATACATGTAATGAGGTCTCATATTGCTTTGACATTATCATTACAAAGACAGCAAAAATAGGACATTTACTAGTATAATATGAAGTTATGATGAAGAATTAAAACTACATAAATGGAGTACATTTTGTTAAACATTATCCTTGGAGGGTTCCCCCCCCCACACACACAATATTTGCTCACTTGATTGCTCATTTGAGAAAATAAGTAGTTCCCTATAGCTCTCTAAGTCACTCGTGGAAATTACTGAGGCTTTATATTTATGTCTCCAAATACTGCACCATTAAACCTACCCCAGGCCTTTGATGAAGAATGCCAATGTTCAAACAATCTGAGTAAACGTGGATTGTAGAGCACTTAGGAAAATTGGCTGTTAAACAGAAAGCTTGTCTCAATTGTAATTATAGAGGAGTTACCACCTCATTATAATAACTATACATGTGATAATATATGAGAGAGAGAGAGGGGGAAAGTCTGTCTCTTCTGTGCTAATTCTGATGTTTCCTTTAAGATGAGATATTATATCTGAATTAATAGCATCTCTC